TTAACACCGTTAACTATTTAGGGTATTCCATGCAATTTATTCATAACACGAGAGGGTTTGGTGCATTTTTTTCATCAATATATGGGGGTCGTATGCAAAATATTTTATTTATTTAAAATCTGAATTATTTTTTAAAATTAAGTCTAATGGTAATGATGGTAATGATGAAAATTCTAGCAAGTTTTGTTTGTTTTTTCTATTTTTTTTTTATTTTTTTTATTTTACCGTTTTCAATTCAAATTTTACAATTTTAGAACTTTTTCTTCATTTGGATTTCATTTCTTTTAAAAAACAATTGCATCAAAATTGAAACTAATAATTTTTTTAAAATTTCCAATTTTGAATAAAGAAATTATTTTATCAATGTATTTAGAAAAATATTATATTTATAATATCAAAATGTTTATACATTTATATAATTTAGTTTGTATGTATTATATGTCAATGAATATAAATTTTATGAAAATTTGAATTTAGTTTGATATAAATATTTATATCAATAATTTTGAAAATTCGACTTTCAAAGATTGAATAAACGTGTTTGACTTAATTTCAAAAAATAATTCAACTTTAAAATAAATAAATAAAGTTTACATATATAAGTTTCACTTTTATTGTAAATAACATGCACCAAACCCCCTTGTGTTATAAAAAACATGCATTGAATTCCCCAAAAATATTTAACGGTGTTAATTATTAAAGGAATGGGGGATTTCATGCAAGATAAAATAAAACATAGGGAGATCCAACGCAATAAAATTAACACAGAGAGATTTGGTGCATGTTTTCCATAACACATGGAGTATTTTGCAGTTTACCCTATAACAACATAACACAAAGTATATTAAAATCTACCGTTAAGGCATCCATGTTACATGATCAACATCAATTGCCACTATATATTATGGTGGATATTTATGCATTCAAATCATTTGCAAAACATCATATTTGCTTTTAAAACATTAGAAATTAAAAAGAAAACGATTAATTAGAAGAGAGAAAAAGTTACATGTACTAGTAGTAGTGGATGAGCATGTGATTCTTTAAGAACTTTAATCAATATTGAAGAAGGCAAATGAAAAAAAAAGAGAGAATATTAGAAGTATATTTAATGAGTTTTCTTGGTTTGTTTTATTTTTTAACATTCCCAAAGACAATCCGATAGAATGTTCATGTATTCCTATTAACTAATGAGTTGTTAATGATATTTATTGTCATTAATTGTGATAGAAATAAGTTGCTATATGTTAAATAACATAAAATATTTGAGTTTTGCAGTTACGAAGCCTTGGAAGTAAAGTGAGGGAATACAAATAGTTGCAAAGAAATAACTTGGCAAACAAATAACTTGAATATAATTATTTATTTTAAATCAGATGGTATAGTTATTTAGCTAATTAAACAATATTACAAAATTACCCTTCAAATAAACCTAATTGAAGGGGCATACTTGTAAGCACAAAAAAGGGAAGAAACCTCACCCAAGATTCACACTTTTATAGATAGTATAGATATAGATTAATAAATAATTTTTGAAATTATCTTCTATTCCAAATAATTATCAATGTTACAAAATATTACTCTCATAACAATATAACTCTCCTATATATATATATATATATATATATATATATATATATATATATATATATATATATATATATC